TTGTCTTCGGCTCTCTCATTTTCCAAATACTTGGAAGGAAGCAAAAATAATAACTTTACCTAAACCCGGTAGAGACCCAAAATTCCTGCAAAATTTACGTCCGATCAGCCTCCTGTCCACGACAGGAAAAATATTTGAAAAAGTAATTTTGAAATTACTACAAAACATATTGAAGAAAGAGGCCTCTCAACGCAAGCCAGTTTGGTTTTTGTGCACGTCACAACACATTGCAATGTATGAGGCTGGCGGACCATGCGACCCTTAATTTCAACAACAAAATGTCTACGCCCACGGTGTTCTTAGGCATCGAAAAAGCCTTTGATACCACATGGCATTCAGGCTTGCTGTATAAGTTATCAAAATTGGAATTCTCGAACAGTTTGACCAAACTTATTAGGTCCTTTTTTCTCGTCGTAAATTCAGGGTTTCGGTTGAAGGCCAAATGTCAACCCCAAGGGAAATGCAAGCAGGGGTGCCACAAAGTTCAGGCCTTTCCCCTACCCTTTTCAATTTGTACATAAATGATGCCCCCCAAACACATGGTGTTCACATGGCCCTATTTGTGGACGACGCCTGTCTGTATGTGACAGATTGCAAGGAGGGTTTTATTGTTAGAACACTCCAGCGTGGTCTCAGTTCAATGGAGACCTGGTGTGAGCGCTGGAATATTAAAATTAATGAAGATAAGATTCAGGGGGTCTACTTCTCTCGTAGTCGTCGACCGCCTGAGTCTTGTCTCACTCTAAATGCACGAAATGTTCAATTTGTAAACAGCACAAAATATCTAGGTTGTAATCTTCGACAAGAGAGTTACATGGAGATTACACATAGAAATGATCAAATCCAAGGCCTTCAGAACATTCATTAGAGTATATTCCCTATTCAAAAGTGAGCGATTGAGCGCTAACATTAAACTAACTCTCCACAAAGCTCTCATTAGATCCGTAATGACTTATGCTAGTCCCGCCGGGGAATTCGCGGCAGACACTCATCTAGTGAAATTGCAGTGTCTGCAAAACAAGGTTCTCCGCACCACTGGCAATTTTCCAAGGCGCACAGCGGTCCGCGATTTGCATATGCCATTTAAAATCCCATATGTATATAACAGAATTATGCAGGAAACAAGCAGAAGTCATATAAAATCATGAAAATGAGAATGTTTGCAACATCGGACAAGGTGAAGCCCAACACAGAAAGTATAAGAGGCTTAAATTTGGTGGAGGTCATGTATTCTACCCTTGAAGTCACTAGACTGCTGTGGTAGCTTATGCTGGTAGAAATAGGGCAAAATCTGCTGTACTGAGCCTGGATTGACAGAGGCCTTCTATATATTGGACATAGAAATAAGAATTAAGATTACATTTGTAAATATATGTAAATACTGACAAGGACCTACTAACACAGACTATGACTGACAAATGACAGATCCATCCTCTCGTCAGAGAGGGCGCCCCAAATGAACAGGACAGTAACTTTCATATTAAAAAAAAAAAATCTGGTCATGAGCCCCAGCCGAGCCTCAACACGAAGACAGACTGACGGATTGTCAGTTGCAATGTGACTTGGACTTGATTACACACTCCAAATATTACACAGTCTTTTCTTTGCAGCCACACCCTTGCAACTAACTCTTTTCTTCACAGCCTCCCGTATAGAACTGAACTCTCAACTGGACTCCGCACTACTTCTAGTTCCAGTTCACTCTAATCCTACAGCTCAGCTCTCGTTATACAGCAATGGTATGGACCACACAAAACATCTTCTATTCAGAATAGATGTGTAACCTAGCAATTAGTCACTGCGCGTATCTTATGACAGTGGATTCACTTTTGTTGTGTTCTTAACGGAGGTGTTTACCGGTCATTGCATAGAAACGGCAATTCTTCTATTGTTGCCGCGAGAATATGGAGTCATGGCCTAGCAGTGATGATACACCTCCATTGTTATAGAAAGGGCCCATACATCACAATATGGATATCTCTGTACATTTTGAAAGTATAGCAGCCATACAAAGTAATTAGTGTGGAAAGTTTTTTGTGCTTTCAAGTCATAAAACATGTAGTAAAGATACTTACCACCATGACCTCTGGGGCTATAATTATGTAACAATGTGTACGTATGTACATTTTAGGAACCATATGAACTGTATAAACTCATCTCTTGTATACAAAATGATGAAAAATTAATTTATAAATTTGGTGGTACATGTAGTTACCAGTGTCAACAAATGGATAATTTTGTTATATTTTAGCGTCCTGTTGCACTGATTTAAGTCCATGATTTATTTCAACCGTCTTCCAGTGCATACACTCATCTATCTCCTCCTCTCACTCGCACTACATGTTTCGGCACAAATGTGCCATCTTCAGGTGCTTATTTAATTTACGCTAAACTAGTTCATTGCATGCCTTGTCTTCATATTAAAATAACTAAAATATATATTNTATCAATATATATAATAAATATATATTTTAGTTATTGTAATATGAAGACAAGGCACGCAATGAACTAGTTTAGCGTAAATTAAATAAGCACTTGAAGATGGCACATTTGTGCCGAAACATGTAGTGCGAGTGAGAGAAGGAGATAGATGAGTGTATGCACTGGAAGACGGTTGAAATAAATCATGAAATGGATAATTGTTCACAGGTAATCCTCTCCTGAGTGCACAAAGTGGCATTATATATTTATCACATGTATTATAATATAAATATGCTTTGATATCTTGACACAATTTGCCTCTTTTATTCTCACACATACCACAATGAACAGAGAACTCTGTACAAAGAAGTAATGCTCTAATGACAGCGGTAGTTATAGGCACCACTTTTCTGAACTACATCTCTTCTTTCTGCACATTCACAGTGAGTACATGTGTATTATATACATGTACTTTCCACTTTCAACAGAAACTTCCTGTTTATTATTATTCAGAGATGCATTCTCTAGCTACCATCAGTATAACAACATGTAGATACTTGAATTTCCCCACGAATTAAGGGTCTATATGATTCCTCTGATTAACTCATTTAACAGATGATTCACACCACAGTTTTCATTTGCATGATGGTGGTAAATTCAGGTACAACATGTACTTTTACAGATGGAAGTAAAGTAGGCTAAAATTTAAAATACTTGTAGTCAAAATTAGCTGAAAATATGACATATGCATGCCTGAATTATCTAACAGAAAATGGACTCAAGTGGATGCAGGTAGCCTTTTGCACTGATGAACCCAAAAATGCAACACAGAAATTTTAAAGAAGTACAAAAAAAAAAAAAAGGTAAAGTTGTTCCTGTGCTTAACTAATTAAGCACTATGCCATGAAGGTGTATGGGGGAGTTGATGTATATATCCACATTTTCTTGACCTCGGCACTAGGTGGAGTTGGAGTAGTCAGCTGCATGCGCTTGTCACTTTACCTCTGGCCAAAGCACCCATTGTATAGAAGGCTGGGTGGGCCCCAGAGTCTGTATGGATGACATGAAGAAGAGAATATTATTGACCTTACTGGGACTTGGAACTCCGACTCCTCGGTCATCCAGCCCATAGCCAGCCACTATACTGACTACACAATCCTGGCTCCAAGGAAATTCCAACAGCATATGCTGATCCCAAGTGGTCACCCCAGTTTGCAGGGTTTAAAACTACTAACAACAACCTCAATCTGCAGCCAAGCAGCATAGTAGTTAAGTCAAATTGTAAAATAAGGCTGTTTCCCAGGGCTTCATACTGAGGGGACAAAGAAAGCGACCAAATTACATACTGTGATCCTTGGCAGTCTGAACCCACATTAATCCAAATTGACTTACAGTAATATACAGAAAATCAGTACCTCCTAAGATTACAAAATTTAATCTAATTATTTTACTTCCAGTAAAAACAAACTGACATGAAACATGATGTGTTAAAGGACCTGCCTCTCTAGATGGTCATAGATGTAACTCGGTTACTGCTTTTGGCATTTAATCAAACATCCAGCTCTTCAGACATATATAAAATAATTATAAAATGTACCTGTAAATAATAAACAGTTTCACTAAAAATTCGAATTTATTTGAAATCTAGTAATCTGAACAATTTTGTTGTCTGAACACACCATTGCTTTCATTAGTTTGGATCACTGTGGATGCAATGTAGTAGGTTTCTCCGAAGCTATATATTACTTTCCAAAGTTCATAGGTAAAAGATTTAGGCTGCGCCTCAAACTGACTAAATTTAAGAAAAAAAAAACTGACACTTAAAGAATTAACTCATTGCAGACCGGCGATTTAAATATTTAAATCACCCTGGGGCAGCCGTTATTAAACCTACTATCCTAACTTGTGCACTGTTCAATTTAAAAATTAATATAAAATCTCCTAATTAATTTTATGAACTAAAACTTTTAGAGAACATTTATCAATGCTCCTAGAAGTGCTTGAGGGTGTGATATTTCTGGAAACATTCCCCTTTGTGAAGTGGCATTACACAGAACTTGCAAATGTAGACATACTCCTTTTTTTTGTGAACTGTGCAAAAACAGCATTGTCTAGAAGGATGCTTCCCCTTGGAATGTTCACTCTTCACAATTTTCACAAGGGTATATTTCCGCATATCACCTGAGACCCCTCGTTGGTGTCTCCACCTTATCGTGGTGAGGGTGTTTGAGTATGCCAAGGACCCTGAGAGCTATACCAGCGGTAGCGTAGCTACTGGCAGGGCCTCCCTTGCTGGACAGGTCAAAGGGCAGGCATCAGACGAAGAGAGACACCGAAAACTGATACCGGAAGCAGCGTCATCAGCGGCGACTTGAAGCACAGAGAAAATGATGCTCGAGATGGTTCAAGTTCGTATAGCAACAGGCGTGACCAGAGTGGTTTGAACGGCTGTTGTACTGCGATGTGGAAAGCAAATGGAAAAACTACCACATTATCACTTTTCCTGGATAGTCTCTTTCCAAAAACAGAAGATCGCATTAAGTGGAGAAACTGTTTTGGAAGAGGCTGTGGACCTGTCATCTGACAGATTACTGATGAATGAATGAATCACCTGAGAGTCGCCCTGGGGGGTCCACATGAGGCCTGCGTGGGATGGAAGGTGATGGGCCCAGTTGCACTAAGTCTGTGTCTGACTCTGGTTCTGCCGCCACCATCTGGTCTGTAGCCCAGGCCTTTGCCACATTCATCAGAAATGCTCTGTATTTCAATTTCAAATCAGGGTTTAGATTTTTGTGATTGTTTTTAAGACTTTTTGCTGTCCCCACAATGGTTTTACCCGCATTTTCATCGGAGCTACTGTTACTTTTACTGTCTGTGGTCACAATTCTTTGTTGTCCCCTGTCACTGCCACTGTCTGAGTCACCATCACTATGCGTCTCACAAGGCATGTAAGCTAGCTCATCGGAGAAGAATTTGTCCTTGATCCATACTCCACCACTAACTACTGGCTGATACATACAACCTGAAGACCACCAAAGCATTTTCCTTTAGAGTGGGTTAAGAAAACAGCAAGGTCAAGTTACTGACAAGTAAGCAAATATTCCACAGTTTTATTATGCAGCTGCGTGCAACTTGGGTGGCACCAGAGCAAGGTATAGTGTGTTACAACCTAACGTGTCCTAAAATCATGATATCATGCGACTGGTCTGCCACGTTTAAAAGCCAAAAGCATGATATCATGCGACCAGTCCTCAAACTGTTAATAACAGACCTATTAAGATGTATTCTCCTTTTGTGACACTGATAAAATTAAACTGATTCGTATGTCAGGGTATGTTGGGGCACAGCTTCTACTGCTAAATATTTTGCAGTGGTGGAACATACTGTTATTTTCCTTAACATTGCAATTTTCTCGAACATAAGTGTGACAAAGTGGAATTAGCAGAGGCCATCATTGCAGCAGTGCAATACCCAACCCACAAGGAATGAAAGCTGTACGCCTTTGAGACCTGAAGCAGAAATGTCGAGGGCAGCACGAAGTGGAGATACTGTTCATAGTGATCACAGATGTCACAGGCATATCCCCTTGGAGAATAAATTGTAATACATCTGTAGGCTACTCAGGACGAATAGGGATCAATGCGATATGATTGCTGAAAACTGGAGTGCTGGTACAAGTAGAGGTTTTCATTGCTGGGCAGTGGCAAAGTAAACACATTTCTGCGGTATCATATTGATGCAACAGTAGAGGACACGGTTATTTCTATGTGGTCTGTGCTGAGGCTATATAACGAGACCCCCTGGAGTGAGTGAGTTGGAGAGTTAAGAGTTAGGAGTAGTTAGTAAAGACTTCAGTTAGGAGAATGGAGGATTTAGCAGAGTTTGAGAAGCACAGGCCGAGTGAGCTACTGAGTTCACAGTCGCACAGTAGGTCAGCTACACCAGGTCTTCATTGGATTCAGTAATCTGAATAAAACGTGTGTTGCACAGAGTGGTTTTTGAAGACTTCACTTTACGTAGTGTGTTCATGGCCAAGTCCTGACTGGTCAAGGCAGTGTCAATGAAGTTCGCCACTCGGCCGCAGTTGTGCACAATGCTGTGCGATGCAACAAAACAAGCGGTGAATCTGAGTGTCCACCAAGACAACGGATGTCCCAGTACATGGATTTTTTAAATACCAGACACAGAAGCTAGCGTCACTGAAATCTGAATGTTATGCCATCATGAATACCCAGATGCAGCTACTGTAGTGCAACAAGTATGTAAAGTACTCAGTGGAATTGATAACTTTGCCAAATACACACCGGCTAAAGTGGAGAAAAGCTCTCAGTGGAATTCTGTTGTGAACAGCACAGAGAACAGATCAAACTCTTGTAAATTTCTAGATCGAAGCCGCTTTTTGGTGTTCTTTACAGCATGTAAACAGTAATACTGAATGAACTGAAGGACATCCTAAAGGTGAGTGCACAGGCAGGACAAAGTGGTACAGTGAACAAAACCTCAGTAGAATCAATGGCCCAGGACAATGACTTCCAGGAAGTAAAAAGACACAAGAGGCATATTCCTAATAATACTTGTACCTCAAAGAGAGCCAAGAAGTCGACTAGACCAGTGTCAACATATGCAGCTGTCAAGCTGCCTCCAAAAGCTGTGTTCACTCGCTCACACTTCTCAGAACTACTGGTGGAGAGAATGTATTAATGGAGCAGAAGACTCCCAGAAAACCTGGAAGGCCACCACCTATAAGGATGACGTGTACCACAAACCTCATTCGACTGCAAAGGGACATGAAACACTATGTCAAACGAGAGTTCCAGTTCCGAAATACATAAAATTGAACCCATATCATAACAAATAAAATGGTGGAATATTTAGCCATGAAATGCTACCAGAGGAAAAATAATCTCCATTATTTTACCTTCTCCCCAAATTCCAAAACACCCATCATGGCAGTAATCCGTCACCTTCCCCCATACACACCAGCAGAAGCCATTTCGAACGGCCATGAGTAATTAGGCTTCAAAGTCATCAATGTGAAGCAAATGACAGCCACTCGAATAGCACCCAGTGGACAAACCGATGTGGAACTCCTACCTCTATTTGTTGTTGCCTTAACAAGAAACATAAAATCTCAAGAGATATTCAAGCTGAACAACTGTAAACATATTATTAACAAGGTAGAGTTATACAGAGCTCACACTGGCCTTACAGAGTGCTACAATTGCCAAAACTTCAGACATGTCTGGGCTAACTGCAACCAACCCCCTCGATGTTTTATAGTGCGGTGGTGGCCACCTGCATTGGGAATGCCCTAAAATATGGAATCTACATTCAGCTTCCACAGTTAGCTTCTAGTAGGACATAAGACCTCATCCAGCGTAATATCGAGCTAAGTTCACCTCACCAGAGCAGTCCTATGCAGCTGCACTGCAACAGGACACAAAACAGCAGCAGCCATGGGCACAGCAGACAGATGCGAAAAAAGTGCGGCACTCCATGTAGCAGCCATCTGCCACAACAGGAAATTCTGAAAACAAGTGCCAGTACAGGCTCCCAGTTTGTTTAACAATGACATGTTAGAAATCACCACTGTATTGCAACAGATCATGATGGAGCTCAGTGAACCTATCAGAAAGACAAAACAACGGTCATTACAAAAATAGTACTTAGTAAAATAAAATGCTGCTAGATTTCATATGCCACTCACAGCCACATCATTTAATCCAAAAGGCATTTGGAGGCGGTGCTATGAGCTCAGTAAACAGCTGCACAACTTACATACATATGTGGCTCTGCTTTCAGAGAGACATCTCAAATCCTATGAGGGGTTCTTTATTCCAAATTATCACTTTTATCTGTTTGAATGCTTCCCAGGAAGAAAAGGCATACCTGCTGTTGCAATGAGAAAACGCATTCTCCACAACCATATACACTTGCCTCTGCTTAACAGAAGCGACAGGGATCTGCGTACCAATTGGTAATAGTGAAGTGCTACTTGCAGCAGTCTATAACTCACCAGGCCACTCCTCGAATGATGCAGACATCCTTGAGCCATTAACCTTTAGACATGAGTCGCTTCTGGCAGATCTGAATGCTCTACATCCAACCCTTCAGGCACGAAACTACTGAATTTACTACATCGAGTTTGCAATTTCAGCACATGTCCCACTCATCACTCTCCTGCAAGAAATGACAACGTGCTTGATATTATTGTGCACGAGAATGTTCAAGTCATCTCTGACATTCTGGCCTGAGATCAACTGCCAATCGTTTTCCACTTGCTTGATCACGTTGTAACTAGGAATATTCTGGACCTAGTTGACAAATTCGGATTGTGTAACCGTTCCACTGAAGTGCTGCCTATGTAAAGATGATTAATGCTATTAATTTGAAATTTAATTGTTCGAAAGTAAGGACAGGAACAAGGCAGTGGGACATAGGTCCATTCTTGTATTTTAGAGTTAGCGTCTTCCCACGCTTACAGCAGAAACAGGGAGATACTCGTTGAGGGTTTATTAGGGGAAAGTTACGTAAAGAATAGCTAAGAAATCTTTTGTGAATTCTTTACTTGGCAGTTTGTGCATGCCATAACTTAAAAAGAGTGAAGTTTTTAGGACCCAAGCGACGCTCAAGCATTTGTCAAATTCTGACAGAAATATGTTGGAGTCAGAAATCCTTAAACCCTTGTAAGCTTTAAACAGAGTGGAGGAATATCTAATTAAGATACTCCTATTTTTCAAATATAACCAATCACTAAAATTTAAGGGTGTGACAGAGCAGAGACAATGAGGAAACAAGGACTTGAAGGTCCGAGTAGAAATCAGTTGTCAAAGTCAGTCACACACCGGGGCCCCATAGAAACTAGATGCAAAAAGGTCCAACACCAGACTCAGGAGACCAGACGTGAAAAGTCACACGCCGGGCTCCGAAGCAATCAGACGTGAAAAAGGCTAACACCGGCATTAATAAGAAAGAAATAAAGTCTCATAATCCGCCTTGAGTAAATCAGATTTATAAGTTACTCGCCGGATTTCAGTTCAAAGTGGTGTAATTCTTGTATGAGCCAGAAGAAAAGTTATACTGGTGTTATTCAATTAGACGGTGTTAAGGAGTTGACCGATCAAGTCTGATAGTAATCAGTTAAAACCCTGAAAGTGGTTTAGTTAAATAAGTGGCACAAAACAAGTGTCTCTTAAATGATAATAATAACAGCATTTAAACCTAATACGAGTATCTGCTTTAATCTACAACAAGCAATAAAAGTGTCAATAGAAGTGTTTAGTAATGAGAATAATACCTCTGAATTTGATTGTGCTTTGGTTGTCTGTGCTTATTTTCTGCTTCTTTGAGTGTGACCCGTTAAGACTCTGAGAAAGAGGATCTAGCTCTACCGAACCCAACCACCTCACCTATTCAAAAATCAAAGAACCCTGAGATATAAATATAGTACAAGAAAGATCATAATTAAGCAGAGACCAATAAGGTAGGTGAGAAGGAAGAAGTACAATTATAATTGAGATTGACTTTAATAGCCTGGCTTCTGAATTAATTTCACCTAGAATCAAAATTAACTCAGGGGAAGCAGCCAATAAAGAAAATTCATTGATACTGAGAAAGGTTTCTGGCCTTGATGGAATTCCAAATGAATGCCTCACGCATCTTTCAAAAAGACAAGTGGTACATCTAACACATTCAGTTAATCACTGAGTTCAGATGTCTCATTTTCCAAAGCCTTGGAAGGAAGCAAAAGTTGTAACGATACCAAAACAAGATAAGGGCCCAAAATATATGTCCCATTAGCCCCTTGTCCACAACAGGCAAGCTATTCGGGAAACTTATTCTGAAAACAGTCCAAAGGCACACAAAAGGAAGAGGCTTGTTTAATGCATGCCCATTTCTTTTCCATGCCTTCCATAGCACAACACTTCAACATATTGTAACGTGTTTCGTTACTGAATACGCCGTGGAGATCGTTAATTGGTTTATTGAACAATCTACAAATATCGGCTACAATTAATGATCACAATGTTACGGGTTTCCACAGTTTACAAACCCTACAACAAAATCTCTTAACACAATCTTCACTTGTCTTCACGTACTAATAACGCAGGAGCTATACAAGTCTCCCTGAATTACACACTCCAGATATAACTGGTTATCCCGAACTATCACTGATTCTCGCACACGCGTCTGTAGCTCGGAACTTGCAAACTGAGAACTCGTTGATAACACACTGACTCTCGCTTGCTGCTCAGCCGGCTTTTATTCCGTTCGCTGTTGCTAGTTGTGACGTGGCGTATAGCCTAGCAACGCTGTTACCCCTTGGTGATGTCACTGCTGTTGACTCGCTTTGCATAGCTTAAAGGTTGCGGGGACTTGGCTAACTTCGGCTCCGCTCGTGACGTCACCTCGGGGAGAGTGGCGGGGTGATGACTCGCCTATTAGGCGAGCGCTACGTTACCGCTACGTGTCGCTGGGGAGGTAGGGGTCAACATGTCACAATATGATGCTTATGGACCATGTTACATTAAATGTAAAAAATAACTTGTCTAAGGCTGCTGTATTCTTTGATACTGTTGTATCCCGGGGATGGGATAGATTGCAGGTTGGCAGGGCGAGCGGTTCCCTTGGGAGTCAGTGCGGGGTGTGAGAGTACTGCAACTTGATATTAAATACATTTATTGATACTGTACAAAATCAGAGAGAGGAACCTGTTGGTAAGAAATCAGTGGTCTGCCTCAGCAATGGGCAGTGGCCGACTCCTGGTATCTGACAGCACCTGCTCCACTTAATGGATAGCTCAGGCAGTGTCGATATCAAAAAGCACCTTTACTTACG